CGGAGTCTCCGACGGCTGCCCCACCTCAAGAGTATGGTGCCGGCGCCCGGGGTAATCTAGTTCTCCGCGCACTCCTTTCTCCTCCTCTCCCTCCTCCTCTCTCTCCTGCCGGGCTTGCCTCTGGGTTCTCGGCGTGTGGGAGTGCAACTCTGCTTCCCCAGAGATCGGCTTGTGGCCCCTGAACAGAACTTGCCCATTGAGAGCGAACCCGGAACAGCTGGATAATGTCCACTCCGAGCAGATTCAAAAAGGACAAAGAGATCATAGCCGAGTATGAAAGTCAAGTCAAAGGTAAGGATGGGAGCGGCTGCCTGGCTCCTTTTGTGTGCCTCCTTGTCATTGTGCTCTCGTGGAGTTGCGTTTCTAACTTAGCGTCCGCATTGGAGGAAGGTAGTGAGGGGCAGCTCGAGCCCTGGCCGAGCCAGCATGCAAGTCCGTCCCAGTTCCAGCCCTAGTCCCGTAACCTACGGGGACCTGGACGCTGGGCGATTTCCCCTGACTGCCAGCCGGCACCTCGAACTGGGAGAGAACTGGCTTGAACTTAACCACCTTCCGCTGGCAGTTTAGCCGGGAAGGCCGGCAGCGTTCCTGGTTCGTGCTCAGTTACCATCAACATCATCATCATTATCACCATCATCATTGTTTTTAGATGAAATCATTGTCACAACATAATTTTTCTATGGAGTCATTTTGTAAAGTCTGAACATCAAGTGGTCCAGAGCTTCATTGAGTGAAGGGTATTCAGACCTTTAAACTCTTCACTGTTCATTTATTAGGGTGAATTCCTCATTTATAAAATAGCTCCCTAAAAGCCTGGCAGTCCAGTCCAGTAGTGACTAGTGGAATCTGACTCCTCCTTTATAATAGGCTAGAATTCAGTGCCATCTTTTACACTCACATGAGACTATTGCCTTATCATTTGCTGGAAGCCACTGGCATGTAAAATGAAGGTTGGACTATTTTAGTAGTTTCAATCCATTTACATTGTCAACTAATGAAAGAAACCTAATTAAGACTGATTAAGCATTTTTATTTTCCGTGATGTGTGGTTTGAAAAATATATTTTCTCTCCAAGATAAGTATTTTGCTGTTGAAGTGGTACATATTATATATATATGCATATATAATACATATGCATATAAATGTGTGGGTTTTTTTCCTTCCTCTTGTGTGGTCTCTAGGTTAGCTTTCCTGATGGAGACAATGGATGGAGCGTTGAGATCACTGTTGTTCTTTGGTGTATTCAATACAAAGTTCAAAAAGATTGTTATGTCCACACCTGTGTTTGTCTATATACAGCCTTACGAAAGGGCTGCTGAGAAAGGCATTACTGTACTTGCCTTGGGAGACAGCAGGAGCTGCCTGAGCTTCTTTTGTGTGGTCTAGTTGTGAAAATGCCTGAGGTCCTGTGAGAGGCCTTGGGGTGAGGGTGGGGTGTCCTGGATCACCTGAGTGTGTGAAGCTGGACCACTCTGGCCTCACCAGAAAAGTGGTTTTCCTTTAGCTTGTCCCCTACAAGCTAAGTGAGGTTAAACTAAATGGCATTCAGGAAATACATAATTTTATGCCAGCAATTAAGATAATTTATACTTACAGGAACTTGTTATATTGATATGGAAGTAATATTAGGAAAGAGTAATTATTTCCTTACAGGAGGTAAACTTTCTAATGAGGGTAGCCTTTCTTTTCTTAATGAGTCCAATGCAGCCTAAACCCTTTCATTCTGAGGCAATACTCCTGTTCACCATCACCATTTCCACATGGCTCTTTGTGGCAAGTCTCTGAGGGGTGGAGGTCTGCTTTTCTTGCTTTCTGGAGCACTGAAAGGTAGAATGCATTTCCTAGTGCTGGTTTAGTTATCTCTGCTCTAAGGTCATTTGCCTATTAACAAGACATGTGAAAACATTTTTTGATTAATTTTTTCTAGTGTATGAGGTCTATAGATTTGAGATCACTTGTGTATCTGAGAGTATAACCATTCTACTTTGTTCAAATCAATTAAATGGGATCTGTTACAATATTTCCATCAAATCTAATTCAAGGAAAAGTATGAACACAGTGAAAATTATTTTTGAAATTAACTATTCTACAGAAAGTAACCTTTGCTCTACTGCTTTTAGCCCTCCTATACACACCCAAGAGACCTTAGCATGCCCTACCCTATGGCCATATGTTGCCTTACCCCTGTAATGTTTCTTCGTTTGCAGACCATCCTCCATCATTACATTCGTATGCAGCCAAGGGACTAGGGTGATACAATGGAGTTGGATCATACATGCTAAATTGCAGAAATTTACCTAGGCAAAATGGAGAAGTGAGAGATAAATGGCAGTTCAGTAGTGCTTGAGGCGAGTGTGCTGTGTAGTGGGAATTAGCCCCTTAGTAAAGATAGCTTGGGAGGTTAGGCTGGCTTTCCTTTTCATTTCCTGAATGCCTCTGTGGAGTGAGCATTTTACTTTACAGACCACAGTCCAGTATTTATAAAGATTTTTGGGGTGGTGGATAAACCACCCTTTTAATTCTAGGCAGCTACTTCATGGGACAATAAACAAAAGAAACTAGTCTGTTCCATTGCTGAAGGAAAACTTCACTGTGTTGGGCTCATTAACATATAGTTCTGTTCCTAGTGAAAAAAGTCGCATTTCTTAGATTCCAGTTGCTTTAGGCTTATGGGTGATTTTGAGTCATTTTGATTACATATATGTAATTTTTTTTTACCTTTTAATTTAAAATCTACTACTTTTAAGCTGTTGTTCTTTCTTATTCTCTCCCATTCATACATAACAACTGTATTTATCTCAGAGTTTCTGAGATAATATTTTGATCTGAAGAAATGACTTCAGGCTGGGTGTGGTGGTGCACACCTATAATCCCAGCACTCTGGAGGCTGAGGCAGGAAGATAACCTCAAGTTCCAGGTCAATTTGAGCTACATAGTGAATAAGTTCAAGACCAGTTTGAACTACATAGCAAGACTCTCTCAAAACAAAAGAAAAAGAAAAAGAAGCAGAAATGACTTCAGTTGTGGGATTTTACCACTGTGGCTACCTGAAAAGTTTTTAGGAACAAATTTCATGCGCTTATCTTCAGCTATGTGAAGAACCATCCCTGGTAATATGTAATTTGGTGTGTGAGACTATAATAACTATTACCTAGTGAAATGTACCATTTTGGGCAAGTCACTTAGCTTCTCTGTGGGTTTTGGTTTTCTTATCTATAAGATGAGGAATTTGGATTTTCTCAGTCCTAAGGATCTTTGAATCTAACTGAAGATGTCATATGAGTTCATATTGTTTCATAACATGTTCAAGCATTTCATATTTTCTCTTGGCTGCTCTATTTTGCAGGGAGTCATCTTTGCTTTCACTTTTGCCCATAATGAATCAATTGAGTTTTGAGGGAATTAAAATTATGAAACAAAGAATACAGAAAGTTAATAATCAAAACCATGTTCAGATAAGCTTAGACCAAGTGGTAACAAGGATGCAGGAATTATACCAGTAGTTAAAAAATCGATAAATTTAAGTCTGAGACAAAAAGACTTCAAGCCACAATTTCAAAGAATATGTTAACTTGGAGTATAGAGACTGCCCGTTTCATAGACATTGGAAAACTTCCCCAAGACACAGAATCAAGAGAAATAAATCTCTTTTATTTGTGTGGGCCATTAAAAAGCATAGACTGAAGCAGTGTATGAAACTCAAACCAGTTGACTGTGCGACTTGTGAGCATCTCTGGTAAATTCTGAGCCTTGGAATAGTTTGGCTGACAGGTTTGTGGACTGAGGATTTTAGCGGGTTATGTAATTTCTGTAATGTGCCGCAAAAATATTGTGGAACTGCACATATAGAAACCAAAAGAATAAGAAAATTTATTTTAAAATTGTATTCATTTTTAATTTTGATTGATTGGTCATGGTCTTTGGGATGGAACTCAGTGTCCTGCACATGCCAGGCAAGTGCTCTGTCAATTACACTGCAAGCCCAGAGACGTACTTAGGAGATGGAACTCATGAGTGAGGCAGGTGGCAGAACCACTGAACTAAATCCCCAGTCCCACTTGTGTTCACTTTTAATAATGCATGTTCTTAGTTGCTAAGAACTGACAGCTATTATTTACAGTGTTTTCCTGGGGATAGCCTCATACTCCTCTACATGCAGTATGTACATAAGTGCCAAGGAAATGTTTTCTTTGATTGCTCTGCTCCCTGAAATAAAAAGAGTGTATTTTGGTAGCAGATGGAACCTGAAGAAATTCCAGTTAAATTGATAGAATACCATGTCATGCCATGGATTTTAATAGGGAAATTAAAAATTCTACTGTAGCTATTGCAGAAACTGTGTTTACTTTTATTTTCATATAACCCAGAAGAGAAAAGGTGAATGATTTAAATTATGAACCAAAACTTTATAGCTGGGAAGGACTTTAAACGTTTCTTGTCCAACTCATTTGTATGATGCAGGGAGGCTTAATGACATATTGTCATTGTACAATTAGCTGTAACATCCTTGGGACAATTAGCTGTAACATCCTGAGTCATGTGCTTCTCAGTAGTGGTGATTTGCTTTCACATAGCAGATAGACTGTTTACCTACTTAGACTTTACATTCATTAAAGGAATAATACCAGAGAATAATGGCTTTAGTCTGTGAATAGTAGTTAATTAAATTAACTGTAACTAAGTTGTTTTTTCACTGACATAATTTCAGGGGACCACAATGCCCAGATAATGCCCTAGCTTCATATGGTGACCTTTAAAGTCAAGAAAAACAATATAAATATATATAAATGTAATCTACTTGATGCTTTGATGAAACTAATTACAGCTACTACAACAAGCCCTTTTACCTGATTGATTTTCCTAAATTCCACAATATATTAAATAATGGAGAATTTTTGTTTTATTTTGGTTTGGTTCTTTTTTTTTTTTTTTAGACTGGCTTTTGCTAGTTCAGGCTAGCCTTGAACTCACTGTGTAGTCCAGGCTGGCCTGGAACTCGTGGTATACTCCTGCCTCAGCCTCCTGTGTTCTGAGATTATAGGTGTGTACTGTACCACCACACTTGGCTCAGGAGCATTTTTGAGTAAATCCTGTCTTATTGCAGCACAGTGAAGGTTGGAGTATAATACAGGATGGTAAGTCACAATTTAACCATCTGGATTGTTTTGCTGATTCCTGTGCAGCATCTGCGTTGATAAGTTTAGGAGTCACATATCTTCAGCTTTGTTCCAAATTTTAGAGTCTGCTTCATGGCTTTGCCCAGATCCTTCTTTTGACTTCACTCATGTGCT